GTGGGAGTATATATAATATATCTGTATATAATACAGATTAACTATAAATGGAAATCAATTGTTTTTAAAAGCGCATAATCCAATAATTTCAGCAAATCCTGCAACTTGCCACTTCTTCTAAAATATTTTATAGTCCAGTATAACTAAAGCACATGCCTAAGAATTGAAAAGTGCCAGAGAAATCCTATTTATGAATTTTAGTTCCTTTCTGACTCATATTCTACTTCACCTTGAAAATCGAGTAATTTGTTAATTTGTTGTACTTGTACTTATGTTGTTGTATTTATTTTGTAACTGTGTTATGAACATAAACGGTCGTTTGTAATTTGTTAATTTGTTGATTTATTCTTGTTGTTATAGCTCCATTAATGTACACCTATTTAATATATTTATTTTGTCGATATTGAACTGGGGGGTTAATCACTTTTGGATTCCAATATAAATTCGATATACAAATATGATTATGCCTGCAAATAGTTTGAGTTCAAACAAAATTCGCTTTGGTATACGAGTAACAAATTTGTGTGTAAATTATTTGCCAGTCTGACCAAAGAATGCTAGCATTGTTTTTTCAGATATCCTCTATGGTGACTTTTGTTTTTAAAAGATTACTTTACTGGCTCTTTACTGTCGTTTCAATCGTGAAATTATGAGGTTGAAGAGAGTGTGCGGGAGCAAGACAGATAATGTTACCATTGCCGGAGCCATCGCGTACCGTCTGTTGTTATTGTTGTTGGCCTTGCTTGGCAAAAGTTGGCGCTGATTTATTGCCCACTTGCGTTGTTGGCTTGCCTCAACCTCCTCCCCGTGCCCCTCCCTTTTCCATGGGCCCCAAGGCGAAAAAGCAACACATACGCACCTTCGAAATAGTTCAAGGGAAACCCGAGTCGCGCGACATTTGACATTAGCCCGGGTACGGGTTCGGGTTCGGGAGCGGGTCTGCAAAAACTTGGCTTGCTACCCACGCGTTTGCACTTTGCACTCTCAGCAGGTGAGCAAAGTGCCGTACAGTAGTTTCTTTTATTTGCCCGTTCTTTGTGCTTTGTTCTTTGCATGCCTACTCCTCTTGCTGCCCTCCCCGCTTCACATAAACAACACTTTCACGGACGCGTGTCGCGACATGTTTGTGGCGGGCGTGCGTGCCGTGACGGCGACGGCGGCGATGGCGGCGACGCTAGCAACACAAAACAATAACAGCGAAAAGGAGAAGGGAAATAAGAAAAACAGGATTGTGATTGTGGCAGCTCCTGTTTCATGTTTTCTGCTTCTATTTTATGTTGGAGGCTGCGTTGCCTTCGTATTTCTTCTTTTATTGCATTTGGCTCGAAATTTTATTTTGTTGTTAAACTCGCTTCGGTTTCTTTTTTCTTGACTATAAAATTACTTTAACACTTAGGTGGACAAACAGTCAGACCTTCGCAAAACACGTAAGTAGGCATATAAAATTAGGTACACTTTTATGCGATAGTACCTCATAAAAATAGAGATGTATAGTATGTATACATATATGTATGTATATTGTATGTGAATATAAGGACTTTATGCTGTTGTGAAGTGTGAAAAATATCTCTATCTTAGGAATAATAACATTTCTTTATAGCATGGGATGGATCAGTGTTTACGCTAACAAATTGTATGGACTTTAATGGAATACATGTGGACTGCTTTAAGAATTAGTTTTTCAAAAATATATGATTTGTTGTTTCAAATTTATTAGACTTCTTATCCTGACTTATTTATGCATTTATGCAATTTTGAATTCAATTTAAATGGGGGAAAAAAGGCAATTATACTAAGGGGGAGAATGCTATTCAACGCTTTCCAAACACTTCCAGAAGGTAGTTTTTAACAAACATTAAGTTGAATACTAGTAATAGCTAGTGAACTAACTAATAAAGAGCTATTGGTAAATAGCGCTAGTTAGTGTGCTAGTTGGTTGATAGTTTCATTTGTTAAGTAATTGATACCTAAGAAATTATTCACATATTACTAACAAAAAAATATATCTAAGGAATTATGGAAACCATCTGAATAACAAACAGTGTGGATTAACTAAAACAATGAAAAATATGTACATATACGGCCTTAGCCTCTAGGAGGCTTCATCTATCCCGATTGGTTCTCGAGATGATGTGTAAAGAAATTATGTACATAAGACTCTTTAAATAACTGAGACTTTGGTTCTTAGTGGAGGAAAATGTTTGCAAATACTTTCAATTTTGGAACAGTCTTGGAGGTCTCGGTTGCTAAATAAAAATTTTAATGTTGCTCTTTCTGCAATTTTTGTAATTTGTAATGTAATTGTAAATTAATTGGTTTTTTACATATCGATGTTTATACTTAGTCAGATTCTTAAGATTAACTTATTAATGCTGCTAATATTTAGTTATGGCCTCCAAACAAAGCATTTTTTAAGGTAACAAAATTTTTTTGTTTACAAACATATAAAATTAATGTCAGTTTTTTATTGGGCTTGGCTTTTTTTCAACGCATTGAAAATCAAAATTGAGTGGACCTTGTTTCTTTGAGATGATTTATTTTTCAAACAGTGGAGAGGATACGACGTGCTATAAATCAGGGCTGTTTATGGGCTTAGTTTCTGTTCCCAAATCAAAAACGATAAGTTAGTGGCACCTGGTTAAAAAAGGGGGTTAGGGTTGGTTTTTGTGCACGTTTAAGCATACCGTTAAACTATTTATTGTAATTGCAGAAAAGTCTAGGAACCGTCATAAAATGTCCTTTTTGGCCACTTTGTGTCGACTAAAGTGTATCCCCAGAGTCTCCTTATCCAAAAACTATTGGGCTTTTGTTTAGTATAACGGGTATTTTGTTTTAAGCTTTAAAGTCATGTGCGTATTTTTCCACAGAGTGTGTGTGTGTGTGTGTGTGTGGGGGAGCGAGAAAGAGTTTGCTTATTAATTTGCCTTCTAAAATGTGGAGAGCTCGCACCCAGCTAGCTGATAGTCAACAAACCGTTATGTCTGTAACTTTTTTGGCACATTTCGTGAGCGAAGAAACGAAACTCTTTGAGCTTTGCTTTAACTGCCTAAACGCATTACTGGCACGCCCCCAGGCTCCCCCGCGCTCCCCCTCTAAATACCCGCCCACCGGCCACTTTTATATTTTTTGAAGAGATGCCAACGCCTTGCTCGTTCACTCGCTCTCTTTCATTGTGTAAATTACCGTTACTGATGTGCGCACACAAGCGTGCGACTGTGCGAGAGGGAGGGAGCTGGAGCTGGGGCTGGAGGAGGATGGTGAGGGAGAGGAGCGGGGCTATGCAATTAAGCAACTCTGCCGCATTCTGTTGTGTCATTATACCCTGAAACCGAAGTGTGAATGCATATTGTAAAATCGTACAAAACTTGTAACAACTACATACATACATACATATGTATGTACATATGCATAAGAAGGCATGGCAGGGTCCACAAAGGGTATATACAAGGTGCTTTCCAAAGTAAACATAACTTTTTAAAAAAAAAAACAGAACAAATGTCAGGGGAATACGGCGAGTGGTTAATGGTTAAAATGTGATTTTTGATCAAATAATCGGTCACAAGCGTCGATCGATTCTGAGCATTTTTTGGTCGTCAGTCAATTTGTGCGGAACAAACCGTGCACACACCTTTCGGTCAAAATGCGATAAATCGATGTTTTGGAGATGTTCAATTCCATTTCCATCAATTTCAATGATAATTTCGGCTGATTTTTGACGAATTCACGCACAGTTTCGATGGAATTTTCGGTGATCACGAACGTTGATCGTCATTTATGTCCTCACGACCACTTTGAAAACGTTGAAACCACTCGTGCACTTGCTACGGGATAGGCAATCATCGCCATAAACTTGTTCCATCAATTGAAACGTTTCGGTAAAAGTTTTACCAATTTTAAAACAAAATTTAATGTTGGCTCTTTGTTCGAAGCTCATTTTCGCACCGATAACACAAACATACTGACACTTAAATAACTGCAATAACTTCATTTCCAATCGATGAAATGTCATGAAATTCTCACTGGACAATCGATAAAGATAGCAGATTCTAACGCACCAGATTCGACATATAGATAGCGCCACCAGGGGGCGCTAGATTCAAATGGAAAGCACCTTGCAGTATATTCTTGATCAGCATGATAAGACGAATCGTTCAAAGCATGCTGGCTCAGCCATTTCTGAAATCCAGTTGCTCATTTAAACAGATAAACAGATCGATTTGTCTCATTAAGAATATATGTATGCATAAACTTTCTTAATCGATCGGAGACTCTTCCATCTGCTTACATACAAGTAGATTTGTCAGTGGCTTCAGTATACTTTACCAGATTTACAATGGATTGTAGAGAGTTGTTATGCGAGTAGATGTGCCATATGGCTACTGGCTATGTTTAATAGAGTACATAGGAGTCGGATGCGCACAGAGCTCTCGAAGTCGACTCGTTTGCTTTGGGCTTTGAAGAGACAGACAGACAGAGAGACTCATGCGTTTGACCAGGCGGCGCAGGTTGAGCGGCTTTTGCCTTTTGGATTGCTTGAAAAGTTTTTTAATTTAAAAAGTTGGCACGCACTCGCACATGTAGAAATTGAGAGAGAGAGCGAGGCAAGTGTAAATATTAGCGTTAGGCTAAAAGACGTAGTCGACCACGCCCATCTACGCCCACACAGACACACACATACACACACACACACACAGGCACACAGAGACACACAGAGACACACACATAGACGCGCACGAACGCATTCGGCATCCTTGACCTGTAAAAATGTACTAGAGGAAGATTTGTGCTTGTGTTTTGCCAAAAACTCGCATATGAATGACAAGTAAGAACATCAGTAACACCAACAACATAAGCAACAAAAACAACAACAACTGACATTAAAGGAGCAGCCAAAAGTTGTCAATGGCATATTGCTGTTGACTGTTTCCAACATTTTTGGCAGCATTTTGCAGCTTACGAGCAAAGGCAGACAAAGTTGAAGAGCAGGATTTTGCACTTACCGCACTGCAGGAACTTCGAGGATATCCCATTCGACAGATGTGTAGAACTCGGACAAATCCACGCCCACTTCGACCACATTGGTGCCGTTCAGTTCATCGATGTGACGCAGATCCACCTGTAAAGAGCACAGAACTTTGAGTAATTGAGGCAGACTTAGTGGTTGGGGTTGGGGTTCGGTTCGGGTTCCGGGTTCCGGGTGCGGGTACGGGTACGGATACGGGTTTGGTGAGAGGGGCATGTGATTTCTTAGAACGGGAGGAGGGGGCAGTGTTAGCACTGATTAGACAATTACTGGTCGTACGTTGACAGTGCACATAATCGGGTTGCAGTGCTATTCTTATTACTCTATTTTTTTTTTTTGTGGACTCTTGCTGTACCTTTTCAGTTTTCAGAGTTTCTTTTTTTCGTTTTTGTTTTTTTTGTGTATTCTGGAGAGGAAACTGGAATTTTCGGGCCTCAGCTGGGCGGCTTGACTGCCAACAACGTCAGCTGGCTCTCGAAAATCTCACTTGACACAGCAGCGAAGCAGAGCAGAGCAGAGCTAAAGAGGATGCGGGCAGACAGGCGGACCGGCAGACAGACGGACAGGCTGCCGCTGCGGTACAGTTCCCGCTCCACTTGCCGCACTTCAATTTCAGTTTCAGTTTGCAGCTGCCTGCCGGCCATCAACGTCACCATCGTTTTGTTTAGTTCGGCACGAGTGCAGCTGACAGCCAGCACAAGCAGAAGCAGTAGCAGCAGCAGTAGCAGCACTAGGACCAGGAGCAGTAGCAGAATCAGTCGTCCTGGCAACTCAATAGCACACCAAAGTGCATCGCACTGTGGCCAATGCGAGTCAATAATGTGAATGCATTTTTAATAGCTTTATCTAATTCAGTGCAAAATTCATTTTAAATTAGTGCAGAAAAAACGACTTATATTTAATTATAAATAAATAACATATATTTATATAGATACAAGTTGATACAGCGGCTAAAGTTTCGATGCAAAACGAGTGCATGAATTCATTTCTAAGCAAACGGATTCACTTTTCATGCAGATTTTCAATCTAAAGCTTCGCCTTTTCCTGTCGGCTACAGCTTTCATTCAAAATGAATGCACGGATTCTTTTATAAGCAACAGGATTTACTTTTAACACATCTGCAATCTACAGCTTATCCCTGCGCCTACGCTGCTTCCCTTCGTCTGAAGCTCTAATTCAAAATGTGTGTACGCATTCGTTTTCTAGCAGGAGGGTCAATTTTGAAGGCAGATCTTCAATCCACAACTGCATACCAGAAGCCAAGATAACAGACAAAGATATCAAGGATCAAGGGAAGTTCTCTTGATCGGCGATATGTTATATTATTTTCCATAGTACACTGGCATCGTCTGCAATTGGTGTGCCACAAATTCACACACACACATACACACACACACACACACCTGATGTGGCAGGCAGGCAGGCAGGTAGTGAACGCCTTCGTATCGTTTTGTTTCGTTTCGTTTCGCTTCGCTTCGGACGTTTTGGAGTGCTTCAATTACATGTCACTTTTGCAGTTTGCTTCCACTTTTTTCGTCATATTCGGTTTTTTGCTTTGTTCACAAAAATTGGCTTAACACGCGCTGGTTGAGTTGAACCAAAGCGAGCAGCTTGATTAGCCAGTTGGGGTCGCTCTTCATCGACTCGTAAGCGCTTCATATGTTCATATGTTGATGCTTCAAAATCTGCCAGAGTGCCGCCTCTGTGTGTGTGTGTGTGTGTTTGTTTGTGTCTCATGTTGCCTGGCATTTGATGCCAAAGCTGCCTTTAGCAACATTTTGGGGCACCGCGTTCACAGCTGAACGAGCTTCAAAGGCACACAACAAGGGCGGCGTGCGAAACTAGAAAAAGCGTGAAATTTGAAAAGTGACGTTAATTCGATTTGTGCGGCTCTGGCCGTGGGCTGGGGCGGGGGCGGTGGCCAAGGGGCGTGTTGGCATTTGCCAGGCTACGGAAGTCAAGTGTGAAAATTGCGTCTATGTCCTTGGCCTTACACACACACATAAAACACACGCGCGTGCGTGCGTCGTTGTGACATAAAATTAGGAAATTAACTAAAGACGCTTTCAACATGAACGGGCAACAACAATAATAATAATCAGGCAGTCAGTGAACGACAACAGCATGTGAACACATTGGAGAGAGAGAGAGAGAGAGAGCGAGTGAGAGGAGTGAAGGGAGTGGGGGGATGTGTGTGTGCACACCTGGCTGTGGAAACTGCTGGCAGTAAATGTGTAAGTGAAACTGTTGAGGCGGAAATTGTTATTTTAAGTGGTAGCGGAAATTTCACTATAAGGAAGTTACGATTTACTGAAATATTTCCGACAGCGTGTGAGTGAGCATTCCCAGGGACATGTGCCACACACACAACAACGATTTGGAGCAGCCAAACAGACAGTCACACATTTTAGAAGCCGGGCCGTGCTGGGCTTGGCTGGGCCCTACCAGTCAGCCATCCAGCCAGCCAGCATTTCAATTGAATGAACAACAAAAAAAATGTAAAAAAAAAATAACAATAAAGTACGAACAGTGCAGTCTCAGCTGTTCGCTTAGCATCCTACTTCCCTGTCCCCCTCCCCGCACCGCCCCGCCCCGCCCCTACATAGTAAAGTTTATAAATATTTTATGAAATGGCTGGCTTGTTGATATCGCTCGCTTATTGTGGTTGATTTATGCGCACCACAAAAGATGCCAAACAATGAGGCGTTGATAGGCAAACATAACAATTACAACAACAACTACTTGTACAATAAAAGCTGATGCTGAGCCTCAATGCCGCTGGCAGTGACGACAACTACAACAACAGCAACAACAACAACTACAACTTCAACAACAATGTAAGCAACGTGTGTCCTCGTCTGGCTGCTGTGCGTGTCAAATGTTGCAGCGCCTCACTTGTTAATATTAAATGAGCTTGGCTTTTTAGCAAATTAGTGCGGTGACAAAATGTGAGCGATGGCGGTCGCCCGATGTCGACAGAAACTAAATAGATATGTATACTCATCGTATGTTACATATGTATATTTGTGATTGTGTGCGTGCAGCAGTGAAGGCCAAAACTAGTGTGGCCGCAAGTAAGTTAATGAACATGTTGGGCCACATTGACAGTCAGACAGACAGACAGACAGACAGGGAGGGAGGCAGGCAACGGCAACACTCAGGCAGCAACTTAGACTAGTGATGTAAGAAAGGACATCGATATATTAGCCATCGATGATTTAATATTTTTTAAATTTTTTAACACAATTCATCGATGCTCTTTCTTCTGTACATTCTGTAGCCGAAGAGTGCGGAAATCAAGCTCAATCGCTAAAGCTTTTTTGTTTATAAGCATATCTTGAACAATAATATGAATATCATCTAGGTTAAGAATTAATGGTTAACCTTCTCCTTAATAAATAAAAATAAAATGAAAAAATATCATCTGAAGCTTTATCAACATTTGTAAACTATTTGATTTTAGTTAAATGACTGTAGCTTGCATTACAACGGTGTTGACACGACTTTAGTACTCTATTCGTTTTGAAGTTCGTTGTATATTCAGATTGATTGTATTGTTTCTTTTTATGGTTTTCTTTTTTCGTTTACATCGACTGCATTGTTTGTCGATGAAATAAATAAATAAATATTGTCAATGCATTACAACTTGCCCATTACTTCCGATAATAGTAGTTGACATTAAATAATGGAGACCCAGTACCCAGTATATGCTGACATTCTTGAAGAAGCTAACATTCGGTGGCTGGAAGTTTTCCAATTGAAAATCTGTTTCTTTGCTTTTTTCTATTTTCAATTTCTTAGTAGGTTTTGCAACCGATGTTTCCAACCGATTTCATATTTTGCTTTCCATCCATCCATCCCTAACCCAGACTCGATTTCAGGCAGACAGGTCGACCGACGACCATCGCCTTTTGCTTGGCGTTTGACAATTAGTTGTGTAGTGCTGTTGTGCTCCTCAGTTGTTCAGGCGACCATGAAAGTTAATAGCAAACTTTGCGCCTGTGGCGATGCCACAAAAAAGCACAGAGTCGGATATAGACCGGCCATGGAAGAGTTGGGAGCAGGGGGGAGAGGGCTGTAGGTAGGGAGCAAAGAATACAGAATAATACAATTTGAGCTTTGGCTTTAATTTGGAATGCATTTGCTAGAGAGCACAACTGAATGTAAATTTGCATATAAGTTTATCAACTTCTTCTGTGCGTGGGTGGGAGGGGGGGGGGGGTGGTGTGTTGGTGGTGGTGGAGGGGTTAATAAAAAGTTGAGCGCCTGAGCGTATGCAGCATAAATTTAATTTAACTTGAAAACAAATTTACTTGCCATATAATACACGCACACAAGCATACTACACAACTATATGAAGATATACATAAATACATAAATCAGACCATCGCAACATGCATACATACATACATAATAACGAGTATATAAGACAGAGTGCTTTTTATAGTCCAGTGGCGTCGTACAATAAAGATCAGTGTGACGAGCCGAATCGACATACCCAAGTCAGTCTATCCAAGCCATTTCCCTGGATTGCACTACTATGTACGGGTATATTATAGTGGCTGCAATAGAAAGCCTCCAGTTTGTCCAAACAATTAATTGTTGAAGAAAATATCGAAAAGAAATCATATAAACAACACTGCCAATTTTCATGGATCGAACTATTTGATTTTGCAACATTATTTGTATACCCAAAATTTTTTGTTTTGTTTTTTCTTTTTAAAATTTGTTAATTAATAATGTTGTTTCGTTAATTTCACTTAATATTGTTGAAACCTTTGTATTTTTTTCATTTCGTAAATATTTGATGGTGCTGGAATTGTTACACTCAAAATAATTGTTTACTGAATAGAATAAAATAGTTGGTATTGCGTTCTTTGGGCCCTGTGCCGACACATAGGAAAACTACTTTCTGCCTTAATTGAAAAATTGAATCCACAGAGCAGCTCCTTTCTAAGATGCGAATTTGTGAAGGCCAATTCTTGTGTACTTGTATAAATAAACCAAACCCAGTCCGTATCCTATTCTTATCCTACATTAATATTTTTCTGTGAAATAATTTTGGTAATAAAGTGTTACGCCTTTATTATCAGCTATCATACATAATTTAGAAAGAAAAGAATCATCATCATGCATTAAAGAGTTACTTGAAACCAAACATCAAACTGTAGCGTAAAAGGCACCCTGTACATTTTTATACATTACACTATATATATATATATATATATATATATATATATATATATATATATATATATATATATATATATTATATATATATATATATATCTATCTATCTCTATATATATATATCATATATATATATATATATATATATATATCTATATATATATATATATATGTTTTATATACTATTTAGTACCGTATAGGAAGTAATTCATAAAATTGAGTTTCATGCGAGTGCCAGATTCGAAGCTGGAAAAAAAGTTTACTGCACTGACTTTTTCCCTTTCATATGAGTACGAGTATATCTATCTGTTTCTCGAGTTTCAATTCAAATACATCTGCAGACATAAGTCAATTAGTTTCTGCAAGTCATTCGTACATGAAGAGCTCAATTCGAATACGATACTAATGTTCAAGTATTACGTATACGCATTGTGGTACAATCAGCACATGTTTGTGTAACTTATATTCTTATTTTAGTGCACGGATTTTTGTGCAATGTTTTGGCAGAAATGAATGAGCATTTAAAGGGCCATTTCGCAAAAGTTTATTGACTTGTTTGCTGTTTACATACTATTCGTATATATGTACATACATATATACATATTTTTCCATTTGCGTCAATAGCCAGCAGACTATGCCTCGCCATTTAGAAAGCAATTGTGGCAAGAAATAATATTTACGGTTGTAAAGAAGCATACATTTTTGTATTAAAGTATTGGACAGCATTGGGAAGTAGAACCACAATCACTAGAATCATGTGGACCGAGCAGGACGAAAGGATGAGATATTTTCATGGGCACAGCCCACAATGGAGTGGGCTGAAGAATTAATCGCTTCAGTAGTTAGTTGGCGGTGCTTTCAATCAATGGACTGCAGCATACAACATACATAATACATGGAGTCAACCAGAGAGGATTGTAGCCAAAGAAATGCGCAAGAAAATCAGGTCCGTGATACTCCTTTCTTCGGGATTTAAAATTGGATTGTCGTCAATAAAACGGCAGAAGAAATCTTTAGTTTAAATAGTTGCTTTGCAACAGGTTAATTGATTGGAACTATACTTGATTAAGGTCGAAGAAAATAGTGGAAAGTAAGTCGTAAATAGGAAATGGAATACAAACTGCGAAAACTTACAATTTAATAAAGAGATGGGTCTTTAAAAGATGATGCTGCTTTAGGGTGCAAATGCTTTACCAGAAAAAGATGACGAATTTAATTGTTCATTTTTTTTTCAATAAAACTATATAGTATTATTGTAAGAACAACATCCACGTTTTTGCTTGTCAGATTTATGTTCACATTTCATTTGTCCAAACGGCGTCTAAAGTTAGGTATGGGAAACGCCCTCATTTGGGCGCCGTAATGCAACCAACGTGCATTTAGCTCGCTGATCCTTGAAATGCATTTGCAGGCGATGGCGCAGCAAGATGAGCGGGGGGTGGGAAAGAGGGGGAAGGGGGAAGGGGGAGGGGGAGAGGTGCGAATTGCAAGTCATTGGCTAACTCATTTGCCTGAAATTGCTGGGTAACGATGCTGGAGAACTAATGCCAGATAATGCCACTTCATTAGCTGGCAAGTCGGTGTTGTGGAACGGCACAAAGCAGGATTGAAGGATTGCAGGAGTGGAGGATTGCAGAATTGGAGCATTGCCGAAGGCTGTCGATGGCGATGCTTTGTTGCATGCTTTTGTGTTGTCATTTAGCATCTGCCATTTGCCATCTGCCATCTGCCATCTGCTATTTGCTATTTGCCATTGCACATTTCATGTTGCCACTGCCACAAAGTTATCTTTTGTGCGAGCAGGGGCAGGTGTGGGCGACTGGAGACTTCCTTGGCTACCAGGTGTGAAGCCTAACGTATTTGTCAACCGTAGTCCATTTGGGTGGCTGGTCTTATTGCTGTGTGCCGACATTTGGGCCATGCGATGTTTGCTGCCAAACCGCCAGAGACATTTTTATGAACTCCCTTCATTGTGTGTATGTGTGTGTGTGTATTTATGTATATATGTATTCCTGTGGAAAAGTGTGTGGACCGCACGTGTGGGCCTAAGCGCCCAGCGGCGGGTTACAGAAGACACCAGAAGACGTATGACGGCCGTAAAATGAGAGAAATTATATGCGAGGGCGACGAATTATGAGCGAATTCCGTTTTATGGCCACTAACATAAAAGAGGACTCTGTACGGCGTACGGCGTATGGCGTAGGTCGTAAGACAGCTCCGAAATGCGCAATTTGTTAATGTGGAAATAAGTCGCTTCTTCTAGCACCGAACCAACTTATTGACATAGGTTTATGGTTCTGTGGCATTAGATGGGAGTAGTTCAGGCGTTAGATGTGAGTGGGGGGTTGCGGGTTGGGGGGGGTGAAGGGAATGTACATAATTGTGTTCTAGAGCCCATTCATTCACTTACCTGAAAACCATCGTAGGTCCAGCTGCCGAACTTCATCACGCAGGTTTGCTCATCAAATGGAAAATATTCAACATCAATTTCACAGGAGCTCTTATAAATGGCCGGTGGTCTCCATTCGACGCGCCCCGTATAGTTCAAAGTGGCTTTGGTGGCCAGAGTCACCTCAAAGTTTCCATCGGCACTACATAAAAAAAAATATGAAAGGAAACATTTTTTTATGACAATTTCTAATGTTTATATCCTTTTTTCAGAGTTTTGTATTGCCAACAAATTGGTGAATTGGTGTTAACCATAAAAACCGTAGAAACTGTAGGCAATAAAATCGATATGCATATAAACAAGTTTTTAAATATTGTTTTCATTTACTCACAAAGTTGTTCTTCAAAGAGCATCAAAATGAAAAACCATGTTCTTTATTTCGGCTCTACAAACTATTGAAATAAAATAACAAAACCAAAAAATAACGTTTCCTGATGAAACGGCATTAAGCGAATCTAATATTCATGTGATTTAGTTGATTAACTTTAAACCAGCTTGACGTGCCTTCCTGCACATTTTTAGAGTTGCAATCGAAATAAAAGTGTCTGCTTTTTTACAGAACCTTGTCTGTGGAACTTCACAACAGACAGTTTACAATATTGTTAACATAACACACTAAGAATAAATTTAAAATGTAACATACTAATTTATTATACAGGGTATTAAATGTGATTTAATTTATAATTTTGTTTGTTGCCACTCCTAAGGCATTTAAGCGACATGAAAACCAGCCAAGGGCAAAACCCTCAAGCGAAATGTGAAATAAATCGGAATATTTTGCGTGCTTCCTTGAAGCGTTTTTATAGAATTGTGTTAACAATTCAAATGGCAAACACTTTTGTTTGTTTTTTTTTTATATTTGATGCGTTTCGGATTAATTTAACGCTTTTTCGGTTCCCACATTTGCTTAATTGAATTGAAAATTTGTCAAATTAGGCGAATAATAAGTACCTTGAAATTAAATAGCAACACAAAAAATTGGCCTACTCTTAGAGGTTAAGACTTTTTTTAAGTGCCTGTCTCTTAAGTCCTCTGCAATCGTTCTTTTCCCTACAACAGCTTTTAAATTTCAACAAAACCAATCATTCCTATGGCAGCTATATCGCATAATTTATCGATTTAACGCGAAATCTTTAAATTATGGTGAGGAACTATACAGAGCTTCTTAAAATCAGTTTTCGGTACGATATAGAAATAAACAGAAAGGGGTTAAGTACTAAGACTGATTTCGAAATTGTTGTAATGACTGATATATTACATTGTGTACCGATGTTGATACAACATTATAGTATCATTGGGTATTAATTCAAGCTTATAAATATCGAGCATTAGTTTAGATATGTATATTTAAAAACAAAAAGTTATCATGATTTGTTACCCCTTCGAATACAGGGTATACACATTTTGGGCATGATCCATAATTATTTAGACAGACTAGAGGGAGGGAGCTAATCGATTGTAGGGCTGTGTATGTATTATATATCTCATTAATTAAGTTTTGCTTTATAGGGGTTGTTTGACAACATTTCGAAATCGCTGTTGTTTTTGAGAAAGAAAGACATTCTAATTGCCATTGCTTGGTAATTATTAATGAGCATATAATTAGAGTTATAATTTTAAAGCTGAGGAACCGCTTTTTTTTACAAATATAACTTCGCAAATAAGATAAATCAAATGCTTAGTTTCCAATATCAAGAAAATGTAACATCATTTAAAAGCGTTACAAATATTTCGACTTTCCATTTTCTTTCCACTATATATCACAGATCCTAGGTAATTATGAAAGTGTCATTAAAAAGAGGCATTTTCGAGCTACCAAATTTTAAATATGAAATATTTAAGGTTATGGTCTGGCAGGCAAATAGTTTGCACACAAACTTTGTAGAGTTTTGAGTTCATTTATTATGTTACTTCTATTTAAAACACGTTCTTGAACGAGTTGGTGTGCAAATTATTTGCCTGTCTGACCGCAGATTAAGCTATCTAGTATATCCACTTACTTGTTGTAGAGTACAATGTCCGGCCGCCAAATGTGATCGGATGGCACATGCAACATCTCAACGCCGCCATATTCTTTGGGCTCCCATTTGAGCTTGTAGTCGTACCATGATTGTTCCACCCATAGATTTGTGGTCATTATTTGATTCTTCAGATTGACATCAATCAGTTGCGAGAGCTTGAGCTTGATCCGCACCGTGAGCGCATCGGTGACATTGACGACGGGTCTCACCAGTTTGTTGTAATTGCTCAAAAGATCGTCGTACAGACGTTTGGCATCCGGATTCGCTGTGCTGCCTAAAGCAGAAGAAGATACAGATATAGAGAGTGGATTGTGGGGATTAGTGTCTCATGTAATATAGCTGCCATAATTGTTAGTCAAGCGCATACTATTCGGCGAACGCACGTTTTATCTTTCGCCGCACAACGCTGCGTATGCACAACGACAATTAATGTGCGACATTAAATTAATGATATGCCGATAAAATGTACAATATGCTTGACCGCCTAATCTATGCTGTCGCAGCCTGAACGTATGTATGTGCCACCATGTGCCCACCCACTGCTTACACTCAGGAAAACCAGATGTCTGTCATGAATATGTTTTCTCAAAGTTATTGGCTATATTTAAATCTTAAACAAATAAATATTGTAGAAATTCATGAACTATTTTAGCTGGAAATTTCTGATATCAATATGCAATTCACACTATTCAAATGTGAACAAAATGTCTATATATTTATAAATCAACCTCCAACCACCAAATATTGAATAAAGAAAACAAAGCGCCGGCGATAACAGTGCCATTAACAGATATTGTGTATATATATCCGTATCAACAATTGTAGAATTGCAGAATACCCTCAGATTTCGGTTAGTGTAATATCACAAATTTGATCGTAATCTCATTAAGAGCGAATACAATGAGCTTATTGTTTAAAACGAGCTCACTCCAGTAGCTTAAGATTACGGTTTAATTTGGTGTTAGATGCTAATGCAACCCTCAAAATCAAGTCAATTTTTTTGTTCTCCAGAGACTTCTAAGCTGGCTGACCCAATCGGAAATGAATGTTTGGCTTTGGAAAATTTAACCTCCAACTGGGGTGAAATTGTGCACAATATTTGGAAAATTTCAATTAAAGTACACAATTGAGGAGATACTATGAAGGCTTAGATGACTTAACCTGAACAGCGTAAAATAAGAAGCGATCCTTACAGCCCATAGCGATTACTAGTCAAAACTTTGAAGTTGAATAATATTATTAGAATAGAATAAGCAGTATTTTTGCATTAATTGAATATTATTGATGGAATAGCATGAATATGAGACTTTCGAAATCTATACATATGTCTTGTATTCTCTATAAAGATTGTGTAACCTTTGCGCCTTTTCTCTCAGTGCACTTCTCACTTCCTTGCGCTGACCAATTTGCTCGACGCTGCTAATTAGCTTGGCTGTTGGCTTTTCGTTTGTCCCAATGCGCACATACTAGCATGAACAAACACATATAGAAGCGTATATATATATACATATATACATGTGCGTGCCTATAACATGCATAGCATATACTACGAATGGGTGGTTGTGTGTGTGTGTGTGTGGTAAATCTTTTAATTGATTTATTTTGTCTCCAGTCAACATTGTGTTCTGCTCATTGCCATTTCTGGTGTTATTGTCTATGTCTAATGCCCTCCCCCACCCCACTCCCTCACTAGAGTCGCTGTTTAACTATTTTAATGCGCTTTGGCTGCTACAAGCAGTTTTATTGTGCTGTCATCCCCGTCCCCGTCCCCGTCCCATCCATCCTGCCTCGTCCTGCGTCCTGTCGTTCACGTAATAATGATAAGCTGATTAGAGCGCGCGCTTAATGGCATTGGCAACATTTTACAGCAGTACTGAGCCCAGCTCTCGGCACTCTCACCCAGCTCTTGGGCAATGCCAATCAATTGCTTGGCATGGCAGCCAAGCCGCCGGAGCTTTGGATTGAGCTTTGCATGCGGCCCACGATGAAGGGAACGATGCGTCGAGATGGTAGCGGCAAGGAAGCAAGGTAGTTAGGAAGGAAGGATGGCGATGATGATGGCAGGCAGCCAGCCAGTAGCCAGCCTGGAAGGCACATTCAATATTGCTCACAATATCGCTGCTGCCGCTTCGTTGCGTCCTTTTGTCCTTTTGTCCTTGTTGCTGTTGTTATTCTTGTTGTTCTTGCTGTTGTTGTTGTAGCTGTTGCTACTGGCATTGCCATTGATGGCGCATTAACTCATTTCCTGCATCATTAACAGCTCTGCAATTTTCGCACATTTACAGCAGGTGGTCGTCCCTCTGCTCATTGCGGCCACGGAGCGGCAAAAATGATTGCAAGGAGTGAGGGGGCGAGGGGAGTGGGGGTTAGGTGGTACGAAAAACGTGGAACTGTTCAGTCAAAGGCGACTTTTAAAGTCAACTGCGACAACAACGTGTCTTTAGCCGTTGTAAGTAGAGTTTTGTTTCCCTCATGGTAGTAGTATGAAAGGAGCGTTCGATTGATGGTTGCATGTCAACACTCTAGTATTTGAGTGCAGCCCCCTCACCCGCCCGCTAGCTTCAAGGACCCCACAAGGACTATACAAAAACACTATAGAAAGTCAACTCGTGTTAAGTAGAGAATTAATTAAATCAGTACAAATCGCGGAAAAACGTGACTTACTCGTGAATGAGTGGTGTGAAGGAAACATTGAAACATTCGAGTCAAGGCTATCGGTTTAACAAACGAATTCCTTTGATGTGAAGTAATGGTAAATAATTAATTAAACAAATGCATATGTTAGTCAATCGATGTCATTGAATTAAATGTGTTAAGAGATTGTTGTGTGTATTTTATCCGTTTTGCATTGAAGGAATAATATTAAATAGATGCTGTAATTTAAGAAACTTATAAAAACTGCCAGAAAGTATTTGATGCATAGAAAATAAATGTAACGGAAAATGTATTAACAAAAGATAAAGCATGAGACTTTCATTAAGCCCGTCGGATTTTTTAAAAGCTGCCTAAGAATTCCTCATATGTTTTTTGTACAACATTTTTGGATTATTTTTTTCCTGTATTACTAAAGACACCAACATTGTAAAAAATTCTACCCAAAAGTGGGTAACATTTCAGTTCATAAGGATTTTTAAAATTTTGTTTGACTCTATTAGAAGGAGACCCACAATGCATTATAAAAAAATGCAATCCAAAAGTGGGTGAAATTTTAGTTTATAAGGATTTTTAAAATTTTGTTTCACTCAATCAGAAGGAGACATAAAATGCAGACACCACAAGTGATTAATACTTCAATTTATACGGAATTTAAAATGTTGTTTGACTATATTGGAAGGATACAGAAAAATGGCCGAAAACTCAGTTTATATGAAAATCGTTAACAATAAAATATCTTCTCATGTCTAACATATCCACCAAAATATTTAAAATGCAATCCAGTTCTATTGCTTTTTTGCTCAGAGCAGTTTTTCCCCAACACTTGATGTTAATTGTCTCTCCAACGTTCCGAGCGTTGTATTTAATTGAACGCATCGTTTGCATGCTGAACATAATCTGAAAACGTTGTTAAGTCTTCTGTTGTAGCTTTGATTCAGAGAAAAAATTACCACTGGTTGCGAGTACGAGTATCTGATAAAGCCTACACTAACTAAGTATTTATGTTGCTGGCCATTTCTCATTCGGCTATCACACGTGCTGATCTCTCTTAATTGTCACTTTACAGTTGTGCCCATCTATCTCAGAAAACTGTTGAGCGGGCATCAAGATCGGCGTTAATGTTGTATATGGGGGAGGGAGTATCCGCTTAAAGGAATGAAACAACAAGAGTTTAAGTAGCATCCATGAGAGAGACACGTTGTCCTTTGGCTACTTCTCTGGCGTTAACTCGCTCCACCCACCATCCACCGCCCAGCACCTCCCCCACATCACTTAATGCACGTGTGTGGTTGTTGTTGTTGTTGTGGTAACGAGGGCGACTGCGATGAAGGCGGCTGGAAGCGTACGCGTGGGAAACGTTAAGTTAAACGGACCTTTGCGTCGTTGCGGCCGCTTTTGTTGCCGCCGACGTGCCAGGCATATGTTTTATATGAGCCCAACTAAACAAATGTGTCGCACACCTTCCCCTGCACAGGTGTGTGTGTGTGTGTGTGCCTGTGTGTGTGTGAGTTTCGTTAATCGACTACATTCGCCACAACCGTAAACACGCACACTAACACACACACACACACACACACACACACACACACACACATGTGGCTTGACAATCGCATTAAGGTTACCAAAAGCACATTTTATGATTGCTTTGCGTGCGTTTTTGTTTCTTTTTTCTCACTTGCTTCTCTTCACACTCTACACTGCGGGCATTTTAATTTGCGGATTATATTTGTAGCGCCCACGTGATATTGCGATTATAAAGACATACTATATACTACTATACTATATATTTTTAAATAATTTTTAATAACATTTTTGAACTAAAGTATGCTCTCTTTTTAGTATTATAGTATATTTTCAGGGAATATTTGCGAAAACCCATTATATTTCAATTATTTCGTTATTATGTTTTCAATGTTATAATACATATATTTTTTTGAAATATTTGCTTAAGGAAGCGCCATACATTAAAGCTTTCTTTTGTCATTTTTGCGTTTAAAGTAAACAAATATAAAGAGGACTTTTTAAAAAGAACTTTGAAACTGCGTTAGTTAGGTACATACTTGTATTGTCTCGACATCCCGTCAAAATTAAATGATATTTGATTAGATAGCAGTCGACCTACCGCACGCATTCTATATTAAGTTTGGTTTTAAACTCTGTACAACTTTTTCCGAAGCATTTCAGTTTCAGAATCCTGCTTACTTTTTGTTATTCCTTTCAAAAATACACTTAAACGGGAAATTGATTTAAAAGTTTGTTTTTTCGCATTTGCAATCAAAAAATGTTCCGGAAAGTTTTTGTTTTATTATTTTATATATACATATATTAAGTTTTATAATTTATTTAAATGCAATTATTTGCGCTTCCTTATCAGTTTTTGTTGTTGTTATTATTCGCTTACGTAAGCGCTGTAAATTGCCTAGAGTTTGTAATCTCTTAAAATATTCTCTCTATTTGCAATATAAATTTCCAATTTAATTAAATGAAGCTTATTTTGGTTTTGAAAAGACTCCTTGAAGATTTTTGGTGAGGGTAGAAATTATTCGTCCAGGGGGGGTTGAATTTTGCGCCTTGTGGCCGTTGCCAGCAAAATGTGTTTATTGTAACGGTAAATGCCCG